GTGTGCGTGTGCGTGTGCGTGTGCGTGTGCGTGTGCGTGTGCGTGTGCGTGTGCGTGTGCGTGTGCGTGTGCGTGTGCGAGTGCGTGTGCGTGTGCGAGTGCGTGTGCGTGTGCGTGTGCGTGTGCGTGTGCGTGTGCGTGTGCGTCTGCGTGTGCGTCTGCGTCTGCGTGTGCGTGTGCGTGTGCGTGTGCGTGTGCGTGCGCGTGTGCGTGTGCGTGTGCGTGTGCGTGTGCGTGTGCGTGTGCGTGTGCGTGTGCGTGTGCGTGTGCGTGTGCGTGTGCGTGTGCGTGTGCGTGTGCGTGTGCGTGTGCGTGTGCGTGTGCGTGTGCGTGTGCGTGTGCGTGTGCGTGTGCGTGTGCGTGTGCGTGTGCGTGTGCGTGTGCGTGTGCGTGTGCGTGTGCGTGTGCGTGCGCGTGCGCGTGCGCGTGCGCGTGCGCGTGCGCGTGCGCGCGTGCGCGTGCGCGTGCGCGTGCGCGTGCGCGTGCGCGTGCGCGTGCGCGTGCGCGTGCGCGTGCGCCTGCGCCTGCGCGTGCGCGCGCTGCGCCTGCGCGCGCTGCGCGTGCGCGTGCGCGAAGAGGGCCCCAAGAGGCCCCAAGAGGCCCCCAAGAGGCTTTCAAGAGGCTCCCAAGAGACCCCCAAGAGGCCCCAAGAGGCTCCCAAAATGGCCCAAGACGGCTCCAAGAGCGAAAAAGCGAAAAAGCTACAAAAACATAAATTTTCTTCAGGTTTTGGAAAGATTCTGGCCTCAAGAAGGGCCTCAGAGGCGATTCGAGGCACTCTAGAGGGGCAGCGCTAATATACGAACCCCCCCTTCTTTGATAGATCTCCTCCAAGATGGCCCCAAGAGCGCCCCGAAGGCTCCCAAGAGCGCCCCAAGAGCGCCCCAAGAGGGCCCCAAGAGGCCCCAAGAGGCCCCCAAGAGGCCTCCAAGAGGCCCCCAAGAGACCCCCAAGAGGCCACAAGAAGCCCCCCGATATACGCAAGAGGCCCCCTGGACCGCCAAGAGGCCCCAAAGACGGCCCAAGAGGCCCCCAAGCTCGCCATTGTCCTCCTCCTCCTCTTTTTCTTCCTCCTCCCTCCTCTCCCTCCCCCTCCTCCTCCTCCTCCTCCTCCTCCTCCTTCTCCTCCTCCTCCTCCTTCTCCTTTTCCTCCTTCTCGTCCTCCTCGCCCTCGCAGTCCTCCATCTCCTCCTCGTCCTCCTCCTCCTCCACCTCCTCCTCGTCCTCGTCCTCCTCCTCCTCCCCCTCCTGCTCCTGCTCCTCCTCCTGCTCTTCCTCTTCCTCCTCCTACTCCGACGACGACGGCTCCTCCTACATCCTCCCCCTCTTGGGGTATATGGCGGCTGACCCCGCCCTGTGTTCTTCTGCATGCTCCCCCGCTTCCCCCATAACCTCCACTCCCCTGGGACTCATTTCTGGACGGGCTGGTGGGGAGACGCGAAGCGTCTAGAATTTTCTCTGTCTCCGGGAAGGGCTCAGGAAACTTCTCAGAAGGCCGCGGAACTTCCGAGACTTCTGAGAAGGCCCGCCCCTTCTCAATTCCCCCCCTCGCTCGCCGCCGACCTGTGGGCGCAGCATCTGGAGCATCTGGGTGGTCTCGACGGGGACGGACTGGAGCATCAAGTTGAAGATGCCGTCCACGAACTCGTCTTCGTCGATCTCGCCCGAGCGATCGGCGTCGAGATAACTGCAGACGTCTACGATCTGGCCCGAAGCTAAAACCTTCCTGAGCTCTGGCGGCAAGTCTAAATCTCTCAAGACGGGCGCCTGCATGATCTCTTCCAATCCAGACCTGAAGTCCTTCTAGCTGAGGTTCTTCGTTCCGGGCGTCTTGATGAGTCTCTGAAAGACACTTTTGACCTTAGGTTCAAGATCCCTCAACTCGCCTCGCCTAAGAACCAGGTCCATCTCTCGATCTTCGTCGGCTTGTGTGATGGCGTTGTCCACAATGACAGCAGTAATCAAGTTCATCAGCTTGATAGTCACGATGAGCCAGACAAATCCAAAATAGACTCCCATATACCATGCCTTAGTCACGATAGGCATGTACACGCTTGCAATGGAGTCTGCGGTTGCGAACTGAACCAAGGTGAACATCGCTACCGGCAGAGATCGGAAATGATCCTGGATAACCTCTGCGGTCACTGGATCTCCCATCAAGGAAGAATCCTGAAAGATCAGCTCAACGCCGCGACAAGCAAACACGAATACCGTCAATAATATCATGATGCAGGCGGACATAACAGTCCGGAATGAGCGCAGGAGGCCATTCGCAAGCTTCCACATCTCCTGAAACTGCTCGAAGATGCGCAGAGCGCGCACGAGGCGGGTGAGTCGCAGTATCCGCAGCACTAGAACCTTGGACACAATGTCGAGCAACAGTCGTCCTTCAGCGTCGTCCGAGGTATTTTCCACAATGGGATGTACCACCCAGGTGGAAAACACTCCCATCATAACCAAACTGAGGTCGAATAGGAACCACTTGCTGCGGAAATTGTTCCAGCCGTCAGCAAGTACGCGGATGACCAGCTCCACTATGAAGATCGACAGGAAAATATGCTCCAGATCATGGACCCTCTGCGTGCAGGCTGCATTGCCATCCAGATCACACTGAATCTCCACCCCCAGCATTAGGGAATTCAAGACGTTGATCAGGCCGATGACGGCGTCGAATGCAGTCCCATGGCGATGTATCAACCTCCACGACGCCCGCCGCGGCTCTGGGAACTCTGGCTCGGGCGAGGGTACGTCTCTGCTCCTCCGCCGAGCCCTGCCGCTGCCGCCGCGACCCGCCCAGTCGCAAATGGCACTCTCGGTCCATGGCCCCGCGGCCGCGCACGTCTCCTCACTTGGGTCGCTCTGGGTCCCCGACGACGAAGACCCCCGCCGCCCCCCCGGCGAGGCGGGCAGCCGCTCCGGCAGCCGCTCCGGCAGCCGCTCCGGCGGGCGCAGCTCCTCGCGCAGGAGCCTCTCCAGGCGGTCCAGACCGCCCCGCAGCTCCTCGCGCAGGCCCGCGAGAGCGGTCTCCAGGGCGCGCTCGTCCAGGCCCGCCATGGAGCGCCGGGCACCGCCGCGGGACGGGCCGCGAGGGGGCACTCCGCCGCGGGTGGCCGTCGACCACCTGAGCTGGAATGGCTCGAGCCAAAACGGCTGCGACATTCCACACGGACTTTTTGTGGTCTTCATTTCCGGCCCCCATAAAACCGGCACGAAATGCACCTCGAAATCCGGAACGGAGCATTCTCGAGGACAGTCTGAGCCCATCCCATGATTTTCCGAGCGAAATCCGCTCTGCGATGTCGCCGGCGCCGGCCCCGTGCCCCGCCCCCATGCGTAAGTCGGGCCTGTCCCTCTACAGGAGGGGCACTTTTCTTTGGTCGCGGCCGCGGGCGAGAGCGCAAACGGCGAGTCGTAAGTCTGGGGCGCGGGCCTACTAATTGACAACAGGAGCAAACTAGAGCCGCACACCTAAACTGCCTAAGCTGCCTACACTGCCTAAACTGCCTAAGCTGCCTAAACACCCTCCAATGCGGGATGACGATTAATGAAAAAATGGGAGAGAACGATTAAAACATAGTTTTCTGCTACGTCTGCACAAGTTTCTGACTGGAGGAAAACGATGTTTTAAAAAAGTAGTTGTCCAGCCCGCGGCCGGTGTTTTCTAATCGTCATCCCGGGCGCCGCCGCGTGAACACGACCCCCGGTCATTTATTAATCGTCATCCTCCATCACGTAAGTCGGGCCTGTCCCTCTACAGGAGGGGTACTCAAAGATAGTGAAAAATTAGTCTTGGGGCGATGTTCTGACCATTTCGGAATCTCTTATACGGTATTTTTCAATGGCTTTGTCGACAACCGCCTCGGGCCTGTCCCTCTACAGGAGGACTGTTCAAAGATAGTTAAAAAATCATGGCTGATTTTTTTTTACCATTTTGGACTATCTTATGGTATTTTTCAATAGCGTTGTCGACCACCGCCTCGGGCCTGTCCTTCTACAGGAGGAATAATCAAAGATATTTAAAAAATAGTCTTGGGACGATTTTCTCACCATTTCGGAATATTTCATTGTGTTTTCAATCGCTTTGTCGACAACCGCCTCGGGCCTGTCCCTCTTCACGAGGAAAATTCAAAGATAGTGAAAAAATAGTCTTGGGACGATTGTTGGACCATTTTGGAATATCTTATGGTATTGTTTGTCACTATTTTTGCTTTTTCGCCTAAAACCGGCCTGTGGGGGGACAGGCCCGACTTAACACGATGCATGTGGTCAGGGAGGGCGCAGGAGACCGCGCCACTCATCACTGCACCGGCCTTGCAGACGTGCTGCAGCGGATTGTTGCGTGGACCTCCTCGACACGATCGCGTCGCGAAGAAAGCATCAGGGCGGGAGGTGTTTGGCCACGTTCGGCCTCGGGGGGCCCTCGCAGGGCCTCGGGACCGTCCAAAAACGACTCGGGACGAAGAACCAGTCCCGGGGAAAGGGTCGGGACTTCCAGGGACGCCGTGCTGAAAACATCAAGACGTCGCATGTCTGTGGACGTGCTGCAGCGGATGTTTGGTGGATTTCTGTCACTGCAAAACACCCGAAACGGCGAGCGGAAAACGAAGTGATTTCCACTCGGATTTTTTGGTGTCTATTGCTTTTGTGCCTCCTGCCAAAGGCTACGACGAGCAAGTGGCTCGAATTCAAGGCCTGCAGCATGCAAACGTCCTCAGCTGTTCACATGGACGCGCGTCTCTGGAGGAGGAGGAGGAGGAGGAGGAGGAGGAGGGGGAGGGGGAGGAGAAGATGGATGAGGAGGAGGAGGAGGAGGAGGAGGAGGAGGTGAAGGAGGGGGAGGGGAGGAGGAGATGGAGGAGGAGGAGGAGGAGGAGAGGAGGAGGAGGAGGAGGGAGGAAAGAGGAGGAGGAGGAGGAGGAGGAGGAGGAGGAGGAGGATGGAGGAGGAGGAGGAGGAGGAGGAGGAGGAGGAGGAGGAGGAGGAGGAGGAGGAGGAGGAGGAGGAGGAGGAGGAGGAGGGAGGAGGAGGAGGAGGAGAAAAAGGAGGGAGGAGGAGGGGTCGCCTAGGCCCTTCGGAGAAACCCTCCATGTCAGGGGTCCTGCACCATCTCTAGCGCCGACTTGCCGTTCTGCGGGAGGTCGCTGGACAGCCAGAGGAACATCGGCTCCGACGACTCCTGGGCCGCGCGGCCTGGGCCCTCTTGGCCCCGAGGAGCCCACAGAAGCAAGCCTGCGCGGCTCTCCGGGAGCAGGGAGTGGGGAGGAGCCAGGGGCTCCCCAGCCACCACCGTGTCAGTGTCGAGCTGCACTGTCAATGCCTCGCTCTCCTGGGGCTTTGCTGCGCTCTTGCTCGTTAACATGTGTCACGTGTGCGGAGCTACACTGTCAATGCCGCGCTTTTCTGTTGCTTTGCTGTGCTCCTTCTCGCAACGCACACCGCTCGAGGCGGCGGAGAGCTTGAGAGATCCATCCACGAGAAGAGGAGGAGCAGGGGGTGGGACCCAGTGTAAATCCAAGACGCGTCAACGATGTTGCAAGAAACCCTCCCTCCAAGTTCCCTCTTCGCAGGTCCAGACAAAGATTGATGTTCATTGCGGGACTTGCCCCAGTGAAAGACAGCCGTCTGAGAATCATAAACCCTGAACACCACTTCCGGGAGTTCATTGCTGCGAATCAATGTGACGGTTGCGTCCTGACAATCCTAAACCGTACCAGATCACAATTTCCAGGACTCCAGCACCGAGGATCACCATGACTGTTGCATCCTGGCAATCCTAAATCCGAGCCAGGTGGCAATTCCTGAGACCTCAGCCATGCGAGCCCTGGAAGCTGCTGCAGACGTTGGCACCGAGCACGCGCGGCGCTCAGGCGAGGGCCACCCGTTGAGGAGGCACTGCCCGCCGCCCTGCAGAGGGCTTCGAGCGCTGAAGGCGAATGCGCGCGGCGCCAGGGCGAGAGCCAGACTTTGAGAAGGGGCCCGCCCTCCGCCCTCGAAGCTCCTGCGAACGTTCGCGAGAGCCAGAGTGTGAAAGTCCACCGCCCCTCTTCCTTTAAGCTGCTGCGAACTGGTGCAAACAGATGTGCGCAGCGCCAAGGCGAGAGCCACGTTCTGAAAAAAACGCCCTCCGTCCTTGAGATTGTTGCACATCTCAAGCTTCAGGATCGTCAATGCGGGGCAATATCGGGCGAAATGCCCGCCCTAACGACACGTCTGAGGTGGCCAACAGGGAGGAGTCATTAACAAGGAAAACGGACGGAGGAGGAGGAGCAAGAGGGGGAGGAGGAGAACGAGGAGGAGGAAAGGAGGGGGACGAGGAGGGGGAGGTCTAGAAGAGGGAGGAGGCATTCTGGCGTTCTGTACCGTTTCTGGCCCCTCCTGGCCCTCAGGGGCCTCCAAGGGGACTCCAAGGACCCTCTCACTGGCCACCGGGAACCTGCACTGGCCTCTGGGGGAGCCCCTGGGAGACCTCGGGAGAGCTCTGGGGACCGCCTCCTGACCAGGAGCAAGAGGAGGCCGATGGCGGCGACGACGACGACGACGACGACGACGGCGAGCGGCAGCCGCAGCAGGATACCAGAAGAGGAAGGAGGAAGGGCAGCGGCAGCAGCAGGCCGCCAGCGACAGTGTCGGAGAGAAGAGACGACCACCAGCGTCAGCGTCCGGAGGAGCAGGACGATGACGACGAGGCGGGGAGGGAAAGAAGAAGGAACAGGAGCAGGAGGAACGTTAGGGAACAACTCCTGGGATGTCTTCGTCAGAATGATGGAAGGCGACTGAATCCGATACAAAGGCTCAATGCGGGATTGGGCCAGACTAAGCCCTGGATCAAGCCAGATTGATCTGGATTAAGCCCGGCGAAGCGGCACTAAACCAGACCAGGCGGGACTATGCTGAATGATGCCAGTTCACAGACATGCCAATGCCGATGCTGAAGTCAACCTCCAAGGAGATGCATCCCAAGGATTTGTTCCCCCCGCGGAACCACCGTATCCCACGTATGTGCCTCAATCTGTACGGCAACTGACAAAAGGAATGTGGCGCGAGCAAACGGAACAGAACGGAACGGAAGCCAGCGCAAGGCTCCGCGAGAGAGCTGCCGGGAGGGCCGAGGCCCACTCACATCTCGATGCAATCAATCGTCCCTCAGGTCAACTTCGCAACCTGTGTCCGATCGTCGTAACGAATGGTGGTCAGCACACGTTTTTTGACATCGTCCACCCACCGGATCTTTGGGCGCCCTGGGCGTCGCCGGGCTGGCGTGTGTAGGTCCAATTGTGGAGCCCACTTCCGCGAAAGAGGGAGGAGAGAGAAGCGAGATGCCCAGTGCGGCCGCCCTGCGAGAGAAGCGACCGGTACGCGACGCGAGCTGCACAGGCACGGCTGGACACGCTGGGAGCAGCATATACACGACGCAGGCCGCACCAGCAGGGCGGGCAGGGCGGGCGAAAGCCGAAGCTCGCCACGGCCACGCTACTCTTAGGTCGGGCATGTCCCCCGTACAGGCGGATTTGGACGAAAGATAAAAATACGCAAAAATGTTCCACAAATGCTCCAAATTACTCAAAAAATCGACCCCCGACTATCTTTGGACAATTTTGAATACTCCTCCTGTAGAGGGACACGCCCGATTTAACGCTATTCGTTGGCGCGTGCCTTCGCCCTTTGAGCTTTTTTTGTGCAGTCGTTGGTCCCCAGCTCTTCTGCAGATGGTACGCTGCCCCCCGCCGCGTGGCCAAGGAGATGCATCCAAAGAAACGGAGCAGTGGCAGGAGGAGATCGGGGGCACACGCCAACGGGGGGGGGAATGATTGCGAAGGGGACTGCGGGGCAAGAAGGGCCGGAGACAGCGGCACCTGCCCAGCCGCCGTCGGTGAGGGAGGAAGGGAGGGAGAAGACAGGAGGAGGGAAGTGCGAGGGAAGAAACGCTCTGGAATGTTTTCGAAAGTACAGTCTTGGAGAATGGGGGGGGACACGGGAGCGGAGCCGCCCGAATCCAGCTTTCTCGATAGAGGAATGGAGGATGGAGAACGCCCCCCAGCCCTGACACCCCCGCCAGACGGCGGGGGGGGGTGAGGGCCCTGCCAAGGACGGGGAGGGATCGGAGCTGCCAGCTCCCGAAGCAGCGGAGCGTAACGCCTGCTGGACCGAGGGCAGAGGAAAGGGAATGCAGGGGGGAGGGAGGCAGAAGAGAAGCAGGGAGCAGGAGGGGAAAGAGGGAAACTAGGAGGGACCTCAGGCGAGGGAGAGAGGGAGGGAGGGAGGGACGAAATGAGGAAGGGGGAGTGGAGGATCAGGAGGGAGAGGCCAGGGGGTGATGGAGGGATGGATCTCGAAGGGAGTGGAGGGAGCGGGGCGGAGAGCAGGGAGGGGCACGGGAATGGGGCCGTTGGCAGCGGCGCCCGCGTCCTGGCCAGTCTCTGCCTCCACCTGAGGTGCGGCAGCAGAAACTATGACGGGGACACAAGTTCAAGCTCAACCAATCAAGGGGTCCGTTTTCCAATGCCCCATTAACATCCGCCTCCCCCCCAACCTCTGCCTCATCCTCTTCCTCCTCCTCCTCCTCCCCGTGCTCTTCCGCCGCCTCCGCCTCCGCCTCCGCCTCCGCCTCCTCCTCCTCCTTTTCATTTTGGCTCAAGCGCTCGCATGGCTCTGCCTCGCGCCTCTCCGCGCGCGGTGGCGGCGCCTACAGGGACTCTCGCGGCAGCGGACGGCGCGGCACTGGTTGCCGCTGCGGTTCGGGCCGCGGCTGAGGCCAAGAGTCCTCGCAGCACGGTGGCGGCGGTAGCGCGCGCAACTTGCGCGGCCGTGGCGAACGCCTTGGCCGCGCCGCCCGCGCCGCCGCCCGTCTCCCGCGCCGAGGCTGCTCATGGTGAAGATGCTGCGGCGCCAGCTCGCCCGCCTTCCGAGGCCAAGCTGGCGCGGCGCAAGCGCCGCCGTCAGGCCCTGGAGGCCAGGCGGCGGGCGACGGCGGCCGGTGTTGCTGGAGCTGCAGGCGCGCCCGCGCCTGCGGCGGAGGCAGCAGCGGACGCCATATTCGTGGAGGCGGAGACCTCGTCGCTCGACGACGCCTGGGCTGATGCGCCTACCTGCCCGTCGGCGCGGCGGCGGAGGGCACGGCTGGCCCGGGCTGCGGAGGCGGCGGAGGCGGCCTCGTGTGTGGCAGCTGGTGCTGCCGGGGGTTTGGCGGCAGATGCTGCTGGCCCTGGGGAGGGTGCTGCCACGGCGGAGGCGGAGCCAGTTTCTGGCGGAGCTGTCGCAGCGGGCATGCGCGACGTGGGAGAGCAAGACGAGCGCGCGGCGGTGTTCGCCGAGCTCGTGGACTGGTTCTCCGACCCGTCCGCTACCGATAGCCTCTCCTTCCTCACGCTCGCCCAGCTGCGCGCCGTCGCGGTGCAAAAGCGGAAGGTGACGTGAGCGCTGGCCCCCGCGGGCCCCGCGGGCAGCACGTGTGCGTCACTGGGCGCGGTTGCTGTCCCGTGGGAGATCCCTCGGCGGCCTTTCCTCCGCGGTCGGCGGCACGTGTGCGCCACTGGGCGTGGTTGCCGTGCGGCCGTCGAGGCTCCATATCCCGAGACGGCTTCGTGATGCACCTGGCCGCTCTCTGCATTGCTCCATTGCTCCATTGCTCCTCCTCCTCCTCCTCCTCCTCCTTCTCCTCCTCCTCCTCCTCCTCCTCCTCCTCCTCCTCCTCTTGCTCCTCCCCCTCCTCTTCCACCTCATCCTCAACCCCCTCCCCCTCTCCTCCTCCTCCTCCTCCTCCTCCTCCTCCTCCTCCTCCTCCTCCTCCTCCTCCTCCTCCTCCCTCCGCCGCCGCCGCATCCTCCTCCTCCTCCTCCTCCTCCTCCTCCTCCTATTCCTTCCTCCTCCTCCCCCCTCCCCCCCCTCCTCCTCCTCCTCCTCCTCCTCCTCCTCCTCCTACTCCTCCTCCTCCTCCGCCTCCTCCCCTCCGCTCTCCTCCTCCTCCTCCTCCTCTTCCTCCTCCTCCTCCTCCTCCGCCTCCTCCTCCTCATCCTCCTCCTCCTCCTCCCCGCCTCCTCCTCCCTCCTCCTCCTCCTCCTCCCTCCTCCTCCTCCTCCTCCTCCTCCGCCTCTCCTCCTCCCTCCTCCTCCTCCTCCTCCTCCTCCTCCCTCCTCCTCCTCCTCCTCTCCTCCTCCTCCTCCTCCTCCTCCTCCTCCTCCTCCTCCTTCCCCTCCTCAT